TTTCCTTTTAAAAAAAAACACTCTCTACTTCTCTCTAAAAAAAATCAGAAAATCTACCTCTCTTAAAAAAATTAATTACGACAATGTCGAGGCGGCAAGGGAAAGAGGTGGCGGCGGCGACGGCGGAGGAAAGGCGGCGACCTAGTGGCAAGGTAATTTTTTAATTATTTTTTTTAAAAAAAAAAAAAAAAAGAAGACGGTGGCGCGTGGTGGGCGTCAGGTCCGGCAACCACAGCCGGTGGGGTGGCGGCTGGCTTGGAAGCCCAGCCACCGGAGCAGGCGTCCAAACCAGATAGTTTATATATATATACACATGATGAAAACTTGTCGCCAATTGTATTTACTCTTTCTAAATTTGAAAACTTTCAATATTCGCATCATGGTGAACCGTTATGAAATTTTAAATTTCCTTTTCAATTACCTATTTGCATAACATTTTTGGCTTATTCTTCATATATATTTGAATCGAATGTTGATTTAATTTGGTGTCATTATTTGTGTATATGGTTTATTGGGTTACTTATAAACTCACTCTTATAAAAGTATGCTATATTATTCAATTATAATAAGAAGATAAAACAATTAAATTAATTATCTTGGAGAAACAATCTGCGACTTCAATCGACAAACATAAGGTACTCAAACCTAATTAAATGAATCAATTAATGTGCAAATACTATATGTGCAATATATAAACGTACTATACATGATATATGTGTAAAAGTCTAATCTAGAGTGATACGAATGAAAATTTCCTAAAAAGAATTGCCTTAATCCTTTGACCTATCACTAGAAGTGAGTACTTAAATATTGTCATAAATCAAATCAGAGTAATTATCAAGGAAGAAACATGCGCGAAACAGATAAAATCTCAAACTCTTCATGCCCTTCAAATGAACATCACCAATTCACCAACTACCTTAGAACAAATCAAAGTTGTTTGGTTGCACAAAAAAAATGGAGTAATTGAAAATTCATTGAATTTACAAATAAGGGGTTTGTTTGGTTGACCATAAAAAGTGAAAATGTTAGAAGTGAAAATTCATGGGAATTTTCAATTCCCTCAAACATGGGAATTAAATTACCAAGCCCCCCTTGGTAATTTACAATTCTCATGATTTGTAAATGTCTGCATAACAACCAAATAACTTTAGCCATTTCCTAGAAAATTTGATGCGGGAATTTAATTTTAATGAAATACGAATGCCAATTGGAATTTAAATTTTTGTCAACCAAACAACACCAAGATGAGGTACAATTTAAAATTATTAGTAAAAAAAAAATTAAGAATATTTGAACAAAGCATGTAGATATAAAATCAATCATATACTCATATAATAACACCAAATTATTCCATCATGTGATTCAAACATATATTAAGTATGAGCCAAAAATGTTATGCTAATAGGTAATTGAAAAGGAAAATTAAAATTTCATAACAATTCACCAAGATGCGAATATTGAAGGTTTTCAATTTGAGAAAGAGTAAATACAATTGGTGGCGAGTTTTCATTAGAGTTCGCCATAAGATTTAAAAATGTAGAGATGTTGTATAAGAACGAAAGGAATGAAAAAGGTGGATAAAAAAGTCATTTGGTGAGAAGGTGATATATAGAAAAATAGTTTGGACTGTTAGGACATTTTTGGCTCATTATTTATAGATGTTTGAATCAAATGATGATTTAATTTTGTGTAATTAATTATATGTGCATATGGTTGATTTTATATCTACATGTTTTGTTCAATTTTTTTTTTTTTAACTATTAATTCAAAATTTTATCTCATTAATTTGTTCTAAGCTATTTGGTGAATTGGTGATGTTTATTTGAAGGGCATGAAGAGTTTATGAATTTGTCTATTTCATGCACGTTTCTTGCTTGATAATTACTCTAATTTGATTTATGTTAGTATTTAATTACTCACTTCTAGTGATAGCTCTATGGATTAAGGTAATTTTTTTTTGGGAAATTCCCATTTGTATCACACTATGGTTGACTTTTCCCATTGGTGTAATATTAACTTTTTGTCTTCTCATTGGTAAACCTGTAGTTCAGTATTTTTTCCAACCGTGACTAAAATGACTTCAAAACCTTAAGGAAACTAGTGAAGGCAAAAAGATAATAGTACTAATAGAAAAAAGTCAATTCTCGAGTTGTACCAATGGAAATTTCCTTTATTTTTTTTATCAACTTCATTTATAATATTTATCATATTTTTTTGGATATCACATGTTAAATTAATCAAATTTACTTTCTTTTGGAAATATATCAATGAATCAATCCTATGTTTTCCTATCATATTATTTGTAACGTTTTGCATCACGATTTATCCGCTATCACATGCTATATCAATCAAACTTCAGTTTCTTCTAGTGATAGATCAAAAAATCGATCTAATTATTTATTTGCCAACTCTTTTAGTGTTTTATGTCATGACATATCTATCTCCTATTGCACGTTAAATCAATCAAACTTTAATTTCTTTTAGAGATAGATCAACGAATCAATCCAATTATTGGTATTTTTTTTTTCCGAAAAACCCAATTATTTTCCTATTAACTTCATTTCTAGCGTTTTATTTCACGATTTTTCTGCTATCGCTTATTAGACTAACCAAAAATTAATTATGGTGTTAGATCGATGAACCTACCCAATTATTTTACAACCTATAGCTAAATTTAAGGTTTTTTTTTTTATTTTTTTGTTTTTAATTTTTAATTTTTTTTTTCTTTTGAATTTTGGTTATACATGTTGTTTAACAAAAAAATCGGTTACCTTTAGAGTTCAAAATAAAACAATACTTATGTGCTCAATGTGTTGAAAATCGTAGACCAACACTTAATTATACTTTCATCATCTTTTAATCAGTTGTTACAATTCATCTTATTTTCATAACATCAGATGGTAATTAAAAATTAATAAAATTTTAATTACTCTTGTATATCTTTCAAAACAATTAGATAAACCTTTAATTAATTCATGTGTTGTTATTACCAAGGTGGTATTATTTCTCATTATTTTTAAATTTATTGTATTTATCATTTTACCGAATTGTCTTAATAGTCCAAACTTTTCTTCTACATATCATTTTCCACCCCATACATCTTTTCTACCCACCTTTTGCATTCCTCTCGCTATTATACAACTTCTCTACATTTTTAAAATTTATGACGAACCCTAATGAAAACTTGCCGTCTATTGTACTTACTCTTTATGAATTAGATAACCTTCAATATTCGCACCTTGGTGAACCGTTATGAAATTTTAATTTTCGTTTTCAATTACCTATTTAGTTAACATTTTTGGCTCGCTCTTTATACATGTTTGAATATGATTTTATTTGTTGTCATTATTTGTTTATATGGTTGATTGGGTCACTTATTAACTCACTCTTTGAGCCGGGTTCGGTTTTTTTTTTTAACTAAAATTGTGTTTTTAGGCTTGTCTAAACCCGGCCTATTTTCAGGCTGGATTGGGCCGGGCTAGCAGGCCGATCGATGTTGATCACCTCTACCAAGACTCGATATTCCTGCACCAGCTCGAACCTAGTGGAAGAAGACCTTCTTTGAATAAGTACACTAAACTTTCACTAGCTTCAAGAACTCAGCTGTCAACATTACATAATTAGGTCTCTCCCTATCAAAGAACACCTTATTTCTACATCTCCAAGTAGCCCACGTAAGAGCACCCAAACTTCTCAATTCATAAGCATTACACCTCGCTACTAACCACATCCATCTCTCTGCAAAAGAAGACGACGGAGCACTGATCAATTTTCCTTTAAAATTGCAATGTTGCCAATGAAAAAGCACGATTTTTTTTTTTAATTTATTTATTTTTTATTTATTTATTTTTTTTTTTTTTTTTACCTCATAAAAAGTTTAGAAAATAGATTTTACCACCACTTAACAGATTTCCATCTACTATCTCCATATTAGTTGCAACTTTACAATATTTAGTATCTCACAAATAATACCCCAAAGTTACAAATAATATGCAACGGAGGTAGTAAGAACCCTTAATAGAGTCCACAATGTCTCATGTCGCCATATATTGGTCCAAATAAAATAATTATAAAAAATCAAAACCCCAAAACTAACCCAGCCTCCCCATCCTTACCGCCAGCACCCTACCTTCCCAGCCCAACCACCGGAACTCGCCCCCCTCCCTTTCTCCCACCTTAAAACCGGCAGCCACCCCTTCCCCTACCCAAAATGGTCACTCGTTTTTCTTACTCCCCAAAAATGAAACAACCACTATCGGTTGAAATCGACCAGTTTAGGGTAAAACTCGACCACTCATGCTCTAAATTAGCCAATTTTGATTGCTAGTGGTCGTTTTCAATGGCCATTTTTGGGAAGTTTGAAAAACGGGCAACAATTTTGGGTGGGGGAAGGGGTTATTGCTGGTTTTTGGGTAAGGTAAGGGGTGGCTATTGATTTTTGGTGGGGGCCGAGCATAGGAGAGGGGTAGGTTCCGGTGAAATGGGCTAGGAAGGGGGTGTGTCGGAGGTGGGACAAGGGTGGCAGCTGCGCAAGTGAGGTGGGGAAGGACAAGTGGTGGGGGTAGGGTGAATGGGTCCAATACCTTCATTCACATTTTGCACTTACATTTTCATACATAGTATACCATTAATCAAGCATATTTGGTGGAGATGATGAGGAACCACATTACACTTTGAGATCACAAGTTCAACCCCCCACCATATGCTTGTCGATTTTGTTGTTGGTCTTGAAAGCCTATTGAGAATTGACAAAGTAAATAGTTAGAATTCATATTTGGGGAAAAAAAAAATAATAGTTCTTGTTAACTCCATTCTTTCATTATTAATAAGTTATCCCTATGAGGATTGAACCCTAACGGAGGCCTACTGCTTGGCTAAGTGCTCCAAGCTTCAACCACAATTACTTTTCTTTTAGGGGATCTTCCTTGGTGTATATGTTTAATATATCATATTAATGGAAAAATTAAGTGATGATCACAGGTAAATATTTCATAATATTATATCACAAATACTAAGCTCTAAACATGAAATTATACAAGCATTGTTAACCTACAAATAAGGATCAGGTACCAATTGACTGTTGGTGTAGTGGTAATTGGGACTACACTTGGTAGAGAGGACCCGTGTTCGATCCCCCGCAACAGCAATTGGCAGGGGACTAAAACCTAACCACCCAAAACTAATCCCCGAATCCGGACTAGCCGAAAGGGTGAATCGGGTAGAGCACCAAAAAAGAAAAGGATCAAGTTTATAATTCCTCAAGTTAGGTCATAAACTCATAATACAAGATGCCAAAAAAAAAAAAAAAAAAAAAAAAAAAAAAAAAAAAAAAAAAAAAAAAAAAAAAAAAAAAAAAAAGGTTCTGAGAAACATGTAGTGCTCATATAGCAGCTTCAGCTCATCAATCCACAAAATTCTTATTTAAGGCCTCATGAGTTCAACTTGGCACGCCGTTCCTCATATGAAGCTGAAACCAATAAATAGAAGCAGTAAAAACCAAAGTCGACTGAAAATAAGACTTAATAAACCACCAGGAAAATAAGCAGTAAATTTGTTTGGAAGCTATTTATTTTCGAAAATACACAAGCAGAGGATCATTTTCGGAAATAAACAGCTTCTAAACAAATTCTGACGTCTCTGTAACTTTGCAAGTAAAAGAGATTGAAGATTATCTCGTTGGTAATTTCAGAAAATATCCCCCCACCACACACCCACACCAGCCCCCATATGCTCTTCCAAATTTGATTATTATCAGACTCACGCTCAGTTGGCCTTGTCATCAAGGGTATGTGCAAGCATTTCTTCATCCCGGCCGCTTTTGTAAGGGAATGTCTTCCTGAAAAATAAAGAACACATCAGGTCCATGTCAAACTTTAACGTTCATTCAGTCAGCCTCACTACTTTTCATGCTTTAAAAATCAATGGGGAAGATAGTCATAGGCCACCTTCATCATCTTCTATGGATGAACAGCTATCCAGAGCATTACTAAAAATAGCAAATTGCAGCATGAAATTTTGGCATTCACTTTCCAAGTGTGCACATAATGCCTGTCTTGCATCTACACAAAACTTTTAAAGTCAAACAAGATAAAAAAAAAATAAATAAATAAAAAATGAAAAAGCAGCTTCTGTACCTAAAATGTTGCATGAAAAGAAAGACCATGAAAGTATGCACGATTATGATTTCTGAACACATGTATCATGCATGCATCCAGTATATTGTTATTGCTTACGAGGAATTAGTAGTAGTAAACTGGCGTCTAGACCAAGGGGACGGACATTGTACTTAAGAGAGGTTAGTTTGAGGCCTTGAGCAAATAGGGGAGTCAGTCTATAAATAGAGGAGTTTAGGGAAAGAGAGAAGTATGATGAATATTATTGAGAAGTTATATTTTGGTAGCTTTGTCTTAGTGAAAGTGTCCAGCCACTTAAACTGGGATTATATGCTCAATTTAAGGATTTAATTGCATCCAATACAATATACATATGCAAGGAGGAGGCGAGGCCCAACTGGTAACTTGGCCCAAGAGGGTGAGAATGCACATGAGAACATCAGCAACATCAACAAGCAGCTGGAGCACAACAGGACAAATCACACTTGAAGACAAACAATCATCAGCAGCCACCAAATCAGTCTAGGGACTGGTGTATATAAATGAAAGTGGGGAAAGGGTTTAGGCAGGCATTTTGTATCAGAGTTATCTCTGAGAGTTGTGGGCTAAATCCGCTATTTGATAGTTGTAGGCTAAACCTACTAATGTTGAGAGTTATAGGTTAAACCTACTAGTTTGTGTTCTTTTCTTGCTGCCACTGTTAAATATAATCAAGCTTAAAGCTTTCTCCCTTATTTGTTCTGTCTTTTGTCTTTCTTTGTTATGAGTTGCTGTTAGTGGAGTAGTGGCTTGAGTCCATTACACTTCGATTCTTCCCCGTCTCAATTATTTTCTGTTTTTCCAATCTATTACATGTCCCTTCTATCCAATCAGTCCTTTACACAGTTCATAGTTATTTCATATGTGTTTCTGATCTCCAGAACATTCAATACACAAAGAAACATTAAACTAGATAAAAATTGTGCTTCATAATTGACATTGTCATGGAATGCAACTTCACATGCCAACAGTGACATACCTTCCTATCCTCCACAAAAATAGAAGATTTTCATTTCAGCCTCCCCAAGAAAATATGATTAACCCAATATCACGAATTAATTCATGAATTGGGATTTGCAGAACAGAACTTTGGAATATTATTATTGTTATTTGATTTAAGGTTCCCCAAATTTTTAGCATGGATGACATATTGTCATGTACTCTGCAATTTATAGCAGATTTACATTCTAGAGAAATTTTCTAAGCTATTTTACCCATTTAAGGGCCGTATTGATGATAAAACTAATGGGCTCATTAGAGAGAACCCAGAGATTCTTAGAAGAAAAGATCTGATATGCTTTCTTGAATGTTGATGGGCTTTCTCAATACTTGAGAAATGGGAATTCAACTTATCATAACCACCAAGTCGAAGATAAAAGGTAGAAAATGTAAATTATATAATTAAAAAAAAAAAGGAAAAATTGCCCACAATAATCCGACCTTTGCCTCATCCGCCAAAAATAATCCCACCTTTCAATTATTTTTTAATAATCCGACCTTTAATGTTAATCTGCTGAAAATGATCCCAAGTGACCGGTTACTTATTAAATAGGTTAAAAAAAAAAAAAAAAAAGGTTTAAAGTATACGTGTCACCACACAATTTGTCTAAATTTTTAAATTAAAAAAATTGAATTTTTTTTAAAAAAAAAAAAAACCCGGCATCCCCCAGCCACCCCCTCCCCTAGCCCCTGCCGATTTGAAGCCCCAGCTACCGCCGCCGAATTGTAGCCCCAGCCACCACCAACTTGAAGCCCAAGACACCGCCGATTTGAAGGCCCAACCACCACCGACGAATTGCAGCCCCAGCCACCGCAATTTCGTCGCTATTGTGGGTGGTTGCTCTGAAAAGGGAGGCTGAAATCGGGGCACGGAAAGGTGAGGGAGGCTGGAATCGGACGGGGGAAGGGGAGAGGGGCCGGAATCGGGACGGTGAAGGGGTTTTCGAGGGTGGGGGATGGTCTTAGTGGTTTTTCGTGGGGGAGGGAGGGGGTCGGCCGCGGCGTTGGCTCTAGGGGAGTAGGGTCTGGGTGGCCGGAGTCGCGGGCAGGGGAGTCAGGCGGCGGAGAGGGTGGTTTGGGCTGGTCGATTTTAAATATTTTTTTTAATTTTTTCTTACAAAATTCAATTTTTTTAAAAAAAATTATTTTATATTATTTTTATTTTTTTGACCAATCACAGGCCGACACGTGTCACGTAACTTGCTATAATAAGTTACATGACCGGTTGGGACCATTTTTAGCGTATTGGCACCAACGGTCAGATTATTTTGGGCGGATGAGGCAAAGGTAGGATTATTCCGAGCAATTTTTCCATTAATAAAAATTAAAAAAAAATATATATATATATATATAGTTAAAGGACTGGTGGCCATCTTATATATTTTTTAAAATTTTCAACTTGACAAAATCTCATACCAAATCAAGAGTTTTACATGTCACATAGCCCACTTGAAAACTGAGCATTTCAAACAAAATCTGACAATATGTTCAATACAAATTTACCTGCTGAAGTAAAGAACTGCAGACCTTCAAATTCACAAGAGCTTAGAACCAAAGGCAATTCTGAGGCCATAGTATACTGAGGCTTCTTAGGCGTTCTCTCAATATCAAGTAACACATCTATAATCTGAATAAGAAACAAAACGAAACTCAAGAAGCCGAAAAAACTCAGCAATGCATGTTAATGTTACCAATAAAAGGGGTATAATACATGGTTTAAGCTTAGAACTGTGATTCTCAGCAATGCATGTTGAGAAAATTGAAGTTGAGGAGAATAATAAATTAATAATTGTCTTTGATGACACTTCTATACTATTCTATTAAATTGGTGCTTTAAAATATATTTTTTTTATATTGTAATAAGCATATTGTCACTATATATTGATTAATGGTCAATCAGACACAAGCTAACAAGCTAGGAAGCCTACATACATCTATTTTCTCCTACCTTGCAATGTGCAAGAACCTCCTTAAAGGCATTGGGGCAATGCTGATGTTAATGACATCAAGTAAGTTTTCATAGCTTCAAAGATATACAGCAATTTGACTTTCTAAATTCCTTGAAACTTAAAAGTAAGGAAGTATAAATGGTCAGTCTTTCAAACAGTGTTAATCAACCTGAAGGTCAGTTGTGTATTGGTAGTTGAGATGCACTTCATTTAACAGACATTCCTAATTTCACCCAAGTAAATGCATTCTTTTTCAAACTTAGTATTTGACAAATTGAAAATTATAAACAACCTGCAACCATACATCTACATAGATAGAGCATCAAATTGACTTATTTACTGAAATTTTGGTTTTAAGATGGCCCAAGTGAAGATCAGCACTTGAATGCTCAAGGAACATCTTTCAAAAGGGAAAGACACAGAGACAAAGACTTGCCATAACTTTGATTCAATCTTTAACTTTGAGGGGCTAATAACGAAAATAACATAAAATCCTTCCAAAACCAGTTTTTAATCAAGGGAAGAAAATGGGTACCTAACTCCTTTTAAGGTATTTGGAAGATCATCTTAATCACGCCACCTCGGTCATCACCCTTTTTTGCAGCCCTAAACACTTCCTCTTCTATCACCAATTGTCTTTAAATTTACTTCGACCATGCATCCTCTCTTCTTTCACCCAGCCATGTCTTCATCTAAAAGGGCCTAAACCTAAACCTTTCCAATTCAAATTGGGCCATCAATAAACAATCCAAGCACTAGAGAGAATGATTGATTGAAAAAAAAAAAAAAATAGTACTTTGTAAATTATGATTCTATCAGGTTTTTGAGATTCCAATCAGGAATAATACTTCATAGAATGCCACAAAGTATATCACATCCTTCGCAACCAAAACAGTTGTAACTTGAAAGTATTGCACCACTTCACAACCTCGTTTTCTAGCCACAAGTATACCCGACATAAATAAATAAAAAAAAAATATTGAGAAGGTGAAAAAGACTAACAAGTAAATATAATCACTTCTTCATCCTCTTATCACCGAATTCATAGCTTCAAGCTTTAACCTCTCCTCTCTGAAAATTTCTTCAATCTATATCCACACTAATTCTTCATTGAACACCCAATTTGCTACTCCAAAACCATCTGCTTTGAATTATGCTACATGACCTACATATTTATATATACGAAAGGAGCAAGGTCCTTCGATAATAAGTGAGGACTCAAAAACAAAAAGAGAGCATTGAAACTACCCATAGTTCCAACCATTTGAATGGAAATTGATGACTCCACCTTGATTTGCTATGTTTTAGTTTTGATATATGATAGTGTGATGGAAGTCAAAAAGAGTCCAATATAATTATGTATTTATTTTATGATGGACTTATACTATTTCTATTATGTTGCTCGTGTGATTTTGTTTTAAGTTAAATATTTCTGTTAACTATTGTTGATAATGTTTCTGATTAGATAAATTTTGTTAAGTAATTATTTATTTTATATTTTTGGTTTGTTTGATATTTAAACATGATATTATTTCTGATTAAGTTTATCATATATATTTTTGAATAATTATCTTGCGCTAAACCTGTTTCAAGGAGAATGTTGTTAGTTTGTTATTTGCACAGGATAAGGCTTGCTGATATATCTCCTCAAAAATATATGCTTAATCAGAATCAAAAACAGCTAGCAAAACGTTCAAAATTCAAAGGGCTGAAAATTCTGTTGAAGCAATTTTTAAGGAAATCTGTTGAAGACTTTCAAACCTTTGAAGTCAGCCTTGCAACGTTTTGAAATCAGCATAAAAGCCTTATAAATAGCGTGAAGACTTGCTGGAGTTAATCATCGAAGCATTCAGCAGTTTTAAGCTATTCTATGAGCTATATTTTCTCTCATGCAATCATAGTCTGTTTATTATTTTTAAAGTGAGGGAAAAATACGAGAGTGTTCACTTGTGCTTAATCTTGTAATACTTGAGTGATACACTTCGTAGTAAAATTATAATACTCGAAGTTGTTTGAGTGTGTTAGCTTTTCTTTCTAGGATTTGAGTGTCTAAGGTGTAGTGGGAAGTACTACGGAGAGAAGATAGTGAGATCTTCTAGGTTGCTTTAGAACTCTAAGGGAAGAAATAAAAGTTGGTTTAAAATCCTACGGGTTGGACAACCCTAGGCAGAGACGTAGGCCTTTGTGCTGAACTTTGTAACAATTCCTTGTGTTTCTTCTGTTTATTTCTGTTTTGATTTTTGCCTTATTCTTGCTTTCGTTCTTTGTTTTAAATAGTTTTAGCAAAATCCAAAACAAGCGTTTATAACATTCTGTTTATTAACTGTTTTACATTAAATAGTTTTCAAAGTCTTGAATTGTAAACAGAGATCAGTTTATTCCGCCCTGTAACTGATCTCAAGGCCTTAACTTTTTCAGTTTTGCGAAAAACGCCCATACTCTATTCAACCCCCCCCCCCTTCTAGAGTATTAATATGTTTATTCCATTACCATTGTGATCCTTTCAGAAATGATCCAACCAATCACCAGCACACACAATCTATATAACCTTAGATCCCCATAAAATTCCCCACAAGCATATAGAGAGTGGAACATCCACCAGCCCACAATCTCTAATGCATGCATTACCCTCATAATAAGAATAGTCCCACGACAATCGTTCCCACAATTGACACACAAAATTAGCTTTTACAAAAAAATAAAAACTAATTACAACAACAATACAACGACAACAATTCAAAGCCTTACTCCCCAAAAATTAAATACTAAATATAAACATAAAAATATGAGGATATTAAATTTTCCATGTCAGTCCGTTCCTCACCACCTCTTAAGCCTCAACCAAGAAAAAAGGGCAGAAAGAAAAGAAGAGAAGAGAGAGGACTATAAATAGAAAGACATCAAGGTGTTGAGACTACTTTTCATGCCATTGCCGATAATGAATTAACATAATCTGTTAGTCAGTTAGTAGAACATTTATTAGCTCATTTTCAGTTTCTCTCTTTCCTCAAGCAATTGACAATTAGTGGATTACTCCCCCTGTCCCAATTCCTCAGTCTGTTGTCACACCCCTAACTAATATGTGCATGCACAGACCAACAAACAAATAAAAGAGTTCAACAACATATTTTACGATAAAATTTGTTTTTAATACGTTACTAAAAATCTATGGTCAAAGTTAGTATATAAGTGGTGAAAAAAAGTCCTACGTGTCAATTACTTAATCTGGGACAGAGATTCCAGAATAATTGACTCTTTTGAACTATTCAATTATTCATATACCGTAGTATTAACTTTGACTAAATTTTTTTTTAACTAATTTCTTAGTAACAAATGTTGTCATGTAATACTCTTTAAATAGGAATTAATACATAGTAAAAAGTTTCATAATGTCGACTTTTCAACAATTTTTACAAAGATCAAGTTATATATTAATGGTTAAAATAGTTTGTTGGGAAGTGTGTCAAGTTTGACTATGTCCGTTATTCACTTATGCTAGAACTGGTGTAGTATTTCAAAAGAAAAAAAAAAGGAATAAATCACAACTAAATATCGCAGCAGCAACATCCAGATTTATTAAAATAGATGCTTTATACTCACTTCTACTGATTCTAGGCCCCTTCCAATCATAAATAATACAGCAACCATGCATCGAACTTGGTGCCATAGGAATGCACTGCCTCTAATTATGATGGCCCATAATTCTTTGTCTTTAAACCTGAATCATAATATCCATGGCGCAATTTTAGTTATTAGTTCTTACAATAAAAAAATAAAAAAAAATTAAATTTTTTTAAAAAAGCCATATTAGCCTTGAAACAAGGTAAAAACAGTAAATATTTTTGTTCAAATTAGCAACAAAAACCTATAATAATGTATCTTACTAGCAAAATAATTAGGCAGAGTATAGCTGATTGTAATGTTTATAATCCAACCAAAACAAGTTTTAAAGTCCATGCCATTGCTAAGCAATGATGATGACAGATTATGTTCAAATAGGTCCAAGTCATTGTCTTCATCATGAAGCATTTTGTGAAAAGTTGGTAGTGAGAGAAATTAAACACCGTCTATGGTGTTCAATATTATATCTTTCGATAATTAACCAGCACAATTATAAATTGAAGAGATCATATAATGGATATGCCCCTGTATCTAACATGTAAAACAAAAAAATTATATGACGAACAAATACAGATACTTGTTTGTTACTACCACTGCTCCTTGTTCTTTACATTGTCCCTATAAGTCTGTTCCTTTTTGTTCTTTACACTTCTGCTTTATTCCATTATGGGACACTGATTTTTAACACTTTTACCCAATCCCCACACAAAAAGACCTAGTTTTACCCATATGCTTACTTTTTTGCCACTTGCAACACCACTTAATCATGCTCTTTCTTTTTTTTTTTTTTTTATTAAATGTTGTACAACTAATAGCTGTCAAGAACATTAAAAAGGAGATAGTATATTTTTACTATTATCTGTGGCCAACTAACACAAATTCCTATCATGGAGGATTATTCAACATATTTGCAGCTAATAATTTAGACAACTTTTTACAGAATCCAAATTTTTAAACAAAAATTAAATTAATAATAAATAGAAGTTGTCTGAAAAGATTACTTTTCACTGCTTGGGATGATATCAAATGACGTGATACATCGCTTATAGTTGTGCACATTAATCGCATCCATTTTACAGAAATTCCTGAAGTCGTGTTCACCCAAATACTTCTTAGCTGCTGTCTGCATTGCCTACAAAGCACACGAACAACACAAATATGTAATCATCCAGATTGGCATAAAGTAATGCTTGCATATCAATTTTAGCAACAGACTGCAGCTTAAATTTTTTAAAATTTCTTACTGATATGTTAAGATTTTCACTCCAGAAAAAATATTTGTATTCCCTGCTCAAACAGCCAAACCTGTAATCATTGATGAACAAGAAGAGAAGTTATCAAAACTCAGAGATTGATGAACAATGAATACTTAACTAGTTATATACTTTAATCTGTACTCTTTAGCTAAGAATCTAAATAAGACAAATAAAGCTCTGCCTAGTTCACATTTTCCATACTACTTTAGTAATATATTTATTCCTACTCCGTGTATTTTTTTTAATAGCTGTTTAGTGTCCACCAGCAACACAATATTTATAGAAATAAAAAGTATCTGTCATCTTTCTTCCACTGCATTCTATCGAGCTTAAATATGGATGATCCAATTAACGAATGGCAACTTTGTTAAACAAACTATCTGATCGAAGAAAAGTTGCTAAGTTTGTACTGCTTGGAGGGAGCATGCTCATAGTTTTGCCATTTAAAATTCTTATGAATATCTTCTTCAAAAAGCAATAACTAGGTCATGTTTTTAGTTAAAACTTGCAGTGAGCTACTATCAACTGGTGTTTGTATAAAAAAACATGAGGTACACTAAGCAAACAGAATTTTGGAGCCTAATTATAAGTTGAGAGGTGAAGGCAAATGCATAGGTGAAGAACCAACTGCATTTCATTCCCCAATATTAAGGTCAATAGTATAGAGAATATTCTATGCACAGTTAAACAAAAAATAAGCTTCAAATCCACTAAGCTTTTTATAGATAAAATTGCATCACCATATTCATGTTAAAAACTTTAATAGTCAAGTTTCTATAATTTTATTTTATTTTTATGTAAGTGGAAAAGCACATATGCATGTCCCCTAAATCTAGCTTGGAAGCTTGAACCTAAGTCATTCATGGATACACCAAAATATTGATGAAGATTGAAGACAGTGGGAAAGTCATATTGAGATAAATATGGTTTTAGTTGTCATCAACCTACTTCTCTCAGTTGATATTCTGTAAAAAGAAAACACACTTACACTGAAACACAGGTATATTAGTCATTTTTGGTGAAAATAAATGATAAATTAGTCCATGTAATGAATAAAAAAAATAAGAAATTGTTTTTAGATTACACTTCTGTAGTTACTCCATGACAGCCAGTTTGTAGCATGTATTTAAAAATATAGTGCTATCAGTTATAGATCATTGTGTTATCACATCAACATTTTAATACCCCCCTATCTCAATTTAATCGTCACACTTTCCATATGACAGTCCCAATATAATTGTCATCATTTGCACCATGGACCCATTCATATTTTGTTACCCCTCTCTTCCCAATACCAAAAGTTAGGGTCCCATACTACCTCTTATTCAATTAAAAAATTCCACCACTATCTTCCATCAAATCAACTTTTCCGTGAAGATATATGAAGAGACGGATTAGCCAACAACTTATCACCTAAAACTCCTATGTAAACCTCCCTACAACAACTATATTGTGACGGAGGGAGTAATGCCTTATAAGAATTAATAATATTGAACTTTGAATAGTAGAAAATTTTAAATTCAAATTTACAACTGCAAACATTTAGGAATATATATTTGTATGAAGTATAATCTAAAAGGATATAAGATACACTACAAAGAGTACAAACTCTTGAATTACAATGATGAAGTGAAAAAAATATTATTTGTCAACTCATGTTATGATGGCCATGAGGCACAACGTACATGAACAAGCTACTTCTGCAGTAACGCAGCAAAACTGTGGTCACAACTGGGTTTTTTTTTTTTTTCCCCTTTCTATCCTTGCACTGGAATAAAGATTCCAGGAAACCCCATCGTTGCAATTTGGAAAAAGGGTTGGTTGGGAGTATTGAATAAAAAGGTCTTTACAAGGCATTGATTAAAATTTACTATCAGCATCAGTTGGCAGAGAAAGTTAGAGATGCTTAAAATGATGACATATCAGTACGTGGTCGCCAATTATGTGCATGTTAACAGCCCTTAATCTGCCTTTTTGGAAGTAAAACTATTCCTATGATCAAACTCTTCCAATCTCTTTCCATCATATAAGGATAAACTGCTGCTCCCTACGTCCCATAATATAGTTCTCGTTTTGAAATTTTACAGTAATTAAGAAATAGGAGGATAGAGTACATAAAATACATGAAAAAGGAATAAAAGTACAAGACATGTAAGTGGGGCAATAAAAACAAGTACCTAAAAAAGAGAAAAGTACATAAAAGTAGGTGACGGCGCAAATAATAAGAAGAACTGTAAGGGTATTTTGGGTAGTGCTATGAATAAAGACATAAATAATAAGGGTATTGTAGATATTTCATAATGACTAAAAAGGGAAAAAAAAAATGAAACAAGAACAATATTTTGAGACACCCAAAAAGGAAAATAGGAACTATATTATGGGACGGTGGGAGTAATACTGCTTTCCAGCCACATCCAACCTTTCAACTCTATATACAAAGTCTTCCAATAGGCTTTGGTTTTCTATTCCCAGGAACCAATTAGTTGGGTTTTTTTTTTTTTTTTTTTTTTTAAAGGAAAGGAACTAATTAGTTAGATGGTGATTATCCAATGTCAGATTGGTAAATAGTCAAAAGAAAATAAATACTCATTGCTAACATTTTGGAAGCAGCAATTTTCTCCCAGGAAGATCTTCATAACAATAATACCAATCTATGCCTATGGACTGAAAGGATTCAAAAACCAGGATTCATCACAGACTAAGCATTGCCACCAGGACAAAGCAGTTTCAAATAGAAAATTATGATTCCCCTATGAGGAACTAGCAAGCAGACCCCAAATTACAACAAATAACACAGAACATAAGGCATGCAAATTAGTTATCTGGTTACTACTTGAACCTGGAACAGTTACCAAAAAAAAAAAAATCTTGTTTTATACATTATCTTCAGTAATCTATACTTAGTATTTAAAAATGCAAACATCATCAGCCACGTGTCCTCTTCTCCTTCTACCTTTTTTCATAAATCCTTTTCTTTTATTGGCCCTATTTTATGATATTATCAGTCACTTTGGTTTTGTAGAACTTTTCTAGCTTCCCCCTTCATATTTCAATCTCTTCAATTTTCATAACCTCACTTTAATTTAAAATACTGAATTCCCTTAATTTTCTCCTCTTCTCCCCCCATCATTCAATTTCAATTTAACTGAATTCATCATCTAATCAATGACCATCACTTATTTTCTTCTCCTAATCCCTTTGCTAACAGTATAAATTTGTAATAAAGCTTTTTTCAAATCGCCTAAATTCCCAGGGGAGGAAAAAAAATAGACATACATATCTCTAAAAATGCTCTCCAAAAATGAAGATAATGATTAAAAAGGAGAAAAATTGAGGAGGCAAAAAAGGGAGACATAAACAACAAGAAAAAGAAGAGTTTGGTGTAAGAATATTCTGGAAATTATACATACATGGTAAGGCATTGCTTGCATGTCATAAGCCATTATTTTCAAGATATCAAGTGTGCTCTACAAGAATTAGATTTGGTGAGGAAACATTTCAAAAAATTAATAAAATGCTCCCGGATGTCAAAAGACTGTAATTTATTCAAGTAAGTTGTGTTTTTTAGCATAAATAATAACATATGCACAGCCCAATCATAGAACAGGCCAAAAAGCTAGTTTTAAAGATAATTCAAGGAATGGTGTTAATTTGTTTTAGAGGACACATCAGCATGACTGTAAAAGCAAACACATCCTTTCACACATATAGTAATATACTATGGAGCACCAAAATAGTTTCTTATCCATATCATAATTTCCATGCATCATACAGAGCCCTCAAGGTCTCAATTTCATGGAAATATAATCAAATTCATCTAATCACAAAATTAATTTTACATAAACAAAAGCATTGGCTTGATTCTAGTACCTCGCATGAAAATCTACAGGAGCTGGAGACCAACCAGTAATCCGGATGTCTTTTGGAAGAACTTTATTCAGTATTCTCACGTAATCAATCTCACCTTCTGTATAAAAAAAAATATAACCATAAATAACCTTTCAACAAAATGAAGATCAGAGAAATTTTTGAATAAGATTAACGTGGTCATATAGATATAAGAAAGCTACGTAAAGAGAGAAAAATAATTCTGTTGGTCTACTTAGGTAATAATCACTGAGTATATTTTAGACATGTCTGTTTTTACCAACTAACGAGTTTTCTGTTAGAAAATCATCACCATATTTCTGCAATTCAATGCATCTTTGACCAACAGAGATTATAAGTAAATTGATAGTGCAAACAACCCCATTAATGATTTACTCCTCAGTCAATTATACAGTAATGTCACTATATACAAAGTACAGTCAAGATTAAGGGTTTGTATAAAATGTTCAAAAGTCCCAGAATACTCAACAAGGAGACATTGCAGACCATATTGCCCTTCACAAACAACTCTGTCAGAACTTGTCTCAGCCTTAAGATTTGACCGAAGGTATAGAGCAATCACCTGCATAAGAAAAATTTTCATTTTCCCACACAATCCAATTTTGAGAATGCAGACAAAATCTTCAGAAGGTTCCATTGTACACATATGACCTAATTGTAGAGTGGCAAAAAGGTATATATCTTTCCACTATGGTAATGGAACGTCAAAAAGACAGCAAATAGATACTAGTGCTATTAGTAAAGGCATGAAGCTGTCACGGATATCATCTTCTTCATATTGTATTTGTTTTTTTTTTTTTTTACCATAAATATTCCTTTCTCTTGAAAGAAATTCTAACATTGAACCATTAAGTAGATGTGGAAAGGTGACACATACAAGGAAATGAAAGGGATGTTCTTCTAGGATATCTCCCAAATCCAACCTTTGATCCTTGGCAAACCTTTCACTCAAAAGTTCGAAAAAGGAGATGAGACCTAGAAACAAAATTTTTGGAAAAGTCATTTGATCTTCCCTCGGTTTTTGAGGGAAACTTATTAATTGTGAGCCCATGACACAAGCAAGTATAATTTTATGACAGAAACACCTCTTCATACTCTCAAGGTAGTTCCTACAAACAGCATAGCAACTAGTGTGATTTTGTTAAGACTACTAATAGAGTTCTAAAGATCAACTTTCTTTCTCATGATAAGCATTATTAATAAGCCATCCTAACTTTTTCTGAACGTCCAAGAAACCCACCTTTGCTGAAGTTTCATCCATCAAGAATAAACTGTGAATAGTTCTATGTATTGATAAAGCACTTTCCACTCCATAATTTGTTTTTCCTCTCCAGCTTCTACCCACAATCGCCACTCAATCGTTTAATTTGCGCGACTTTAGAGAATATTACTAAATTCCAACATTGTACACTAGAACAGTCTTTATTTCAAATATGAAGAAGTGAAAGAAAATAGTAATTTCTTTTACTTTTCGAGCTCACAATTCAGAAGAAAGCCAAATTACATAGCTTAATGTTATCATTTTTTATGTTGTGGTAGTGATGCTGGTATGAGTTATTTATTCCTTAAATGAAATTTTCATATTTGATTAATTATTTTTAAAATTTGCAATATTTTATTAATTATTTATAAATTACTGGTAAATTATTTCTTTTAATCTTTGTCATCTCCTTGTCCTATCCAAATCTAATTTTAGAAATTTTGTGATTCACACCCCCCCCCATTCACACTCCCATCCTTGCCTCCACGCAACCTAGCACCCTACAACTGCAATAACCTGAACTCTGAAGAATAAAATTTCAGGATAAGGTTCATATGAACCGTCTATCAGCAAGTACTGCAAGCTTGCCTAAACATAATAATACAATAAGTTTAAGTTCCTAGAAATTATGTAATTACAGATCCAAAGAACAAATTGAATACCTTGCAATTAAGCTACAGCCAAATTTCAAATTAGTGAAAAAGTTCTTAAGGTTAACGTTAAGGAAGATAAGACACAAATCATATGCAAATAAACATAAAGAGTGAAAAGAATATGTTATCAGAGTACTCTCTCCATACTTTCATAATTTTTCTATAAAATATGAGGCCACTATTTCTATTTGGTAAGTTATAGCATGAACTTTTCCCTATACGCTTCACGATACAATTAATTATGACCTTTAAGCTTTAACTTTTTAAGATATACTAGCTTATTCTATGATTGAAAAACATAATTTTGAATTCTTAATTCCTAGTTATCTAGTTTGGCTAACTATTTTGGGATGGAGGGAGTAACAATATTTCACAGTGAGTACAAGCTTTAACAAAGGTAACAAATTACAGGTAGGATTTCATGATGCTTACTTGCCCAGCAGCTGAGACTCCCTTATCTGTTCTGCCACATCTAGAATACTGTGAACCCTTCCTATCGTTAATCAATAGCCTTGTCTTCTCAAAAGCTTTGAAAAGTTCAGACTGCAAAAAACGTCCAACAGAGACACAAAGCTAAACAACTACCTTCAATGAAATATCAGAAAATCTCATCAAATGCAAACTATCAGTCATTTCACATCCCATATTTCCATACTTTGATGCTGAGATTTAGGGGGTTTGGACTCTTATAATTAATGATAAAGCTGGTGTTTCTGTAAACGATTTGTTAGTTGCTTCTTACACTATCTCAATTAATGATGTTACTAGTCCTTACTAGGCCTTCAAAAGGTATAAAGAGCTTGAGACAAGGAGAGCTAACTCCATTTCTTATTTTCATGGATACCCACTGTTTGAATGGATGCTCTGACAGCTTAAAGAGGAATCCTAGAACTTTCATCCTAAATGTGGGCAAATGGGAGTCCATCTGTGGTTTGCTGATAAATTATTCGCAAGAGGTGATACAATAGTAATATTTTCTCTTATTCTCAAGAGGTGAAACGACGTCTATTAAACTCCTGGAATCTGCTTAATATGTTATACGTAATGCTTCTCGGGCATCTAAGCTGATAGTCAGCTGATAGAAATTGTGTTGATTTGGAATTTTAGAGGTATTGTGGAGGCTAAATCAGTATATCTTGGAGCTTTTGGGGATAACACCATTTCAAGTAATTGGTGGATCCCCTTTCAGCCATAATAGAAGCTGTCTTGTTAGGACACTTCAAGAGTTCAAAGAGTAAAAGATTGGACAAGGAAGACTACAGTATAACATATACAATTGGTCCTAAATACAAACCAGCAAAAAAATTAATGTTTGTTGAGTTTTGATTTGGTTCAAATGTTCACTTATGGAAGCTAGAGCAGAGATAGTAAATTAAGTGCAGTTGAATCCTAGTAATAGTTCAGTTTGAATCAGAAGTATATTTTTTTTTTTTTAAATGGCAGCTAAAAACTGAGAGTCTTAATATGGCAGCGCATAAACAAAACCCCTGGACCCTACTTGCTGAGGGTGTTTGGGTGAATGTTGCTGCAATAGGAAAATCTGATAGAGCGTTATATTGATTCAAACTGTATATACAAAACAAGTCTATGCTGTGTGGAGAAAAAAAAGAAAAAAAAAAAAAAAAAAAAAAAAAAAAAAACATGCAACTTTACAGGGTAAAGGTTTTTCAGAGTATATCCTTGTTATAATTAATTTCCAGTATATATGAAGCTTAAGACTTTGATCCTTCTACCAAAAATCATCATTCAAAAAAGATTTCAGGAAGGAAAAATAATCATTTCTAAATAAAAACAAATGGAGAAAAGAATGTTGATTAGTGCATATAGAAAGCATGTTAAAATAATTTGATCTAATTTGCAAATTAGCGCATACAAAAAAGCATGTTCTATTTTTTTACACAAAAAGGTAGAGTCATCTCATCAAAAAAATTACGAAAATCCCACTCCATATGGGTCATTATTGAGGTAATTTGGTAATTGGTATGCCCTCATAAAAGATTTAGCATATCAAAAGAGCATGAAATTTACAGTTCTCTAAAGCTTCTCCAATTGAACAAGTACGTATATACAATGACACATAAACTCACCTCAACAGTAGGTTCCATTTGTGCCTCTGATGCAAAGCCATAAAACCTGTAACATAATATTCCAGGCAAGAACTTAGTGTAAACCCCTATTAAATATTATAAAAAAAAAAAAATTTAAAAAGGAAAACCATGCTAGACCAGTACAAGGTATTAAAGGAACACAATGTCTTAGCATATATGTTGAAGGCATACCGTTGACCAAAATACAATACTTTGAGGGCGACATATCTCTTCGGATGATGATGCAAGATGCTCACATTCCTATCTATAACCACCAAGTGAATGAGGTAAATCAAATTTTCAATTGCATATTACACAATCTTCACCGTGCAGAAATATAATAATACAAACATTACCACAAATACAATATACCCAATAATATTGTCCCTAAATAGAAGTAGCGTTTCTTTAGGTTAATTTTTTAATTCATCTTTAATCAACCAAATCCCACTATCTTATTTTTGCATTTCGTCTGTTTTCTTTTACTTGCAAGCACCACAATCTCTAAGGCACGCATTTATAAGAGATGATTAGAGATGGTAAACAAACGATGAATTGATATTGGACCTTGACAGTCTAGGCTAGCTTGAATAATACTTGTATATCGTACATGATTGCTTAATTGATACTAAACTCTTGATAATTAGAATTCCGTTCATTGCGTGCTAAACATACACTAGTTGACACAATCTAATGCACTCATCTCGTGAATTTAGCTTATGATCCATACAATCCATTGCCATACATGGCCTTGATATTGTATTACATTGTTCTCAATAACTTTGGGAAGTTAGAATGTAAGACAATAATGACCTTTCGGGGAAAAAAAATATATATTGTTTCTTTTTCTACATAATATTCCACATTATGCTGATCAAAGTCGTCAACTATCGACAAGTTCAGGTCTTCGTATTAGTGAAATATAAACAGTAGGAAAATATACAAGACAATCAATATGAACTAGACCATTATAAGTTTAAAAATCATTAACTCAATCAGCTATAAAACTTTAAAACAAATATTTTTAATAATTCACCAACCTTGTGACTTTGTTTTCCTGCTCTTGCCACTCTTTTGATGCAAATTTTGAGCAATTTCAACAGAAGCTAAAGCATTACTCACACTAGAATCACTAGCATCCTCAACCTAAACAAAATCGTTTAGGATTTCAAAATGGTAAATTAAAGTAGCGCAAAAATGTAAGAATTCAAAAAATTTCAAAGTGATTAATTATAAAGCAGAACAAGAGATTAGATTACCTTAGAACAACGGCAATGCGAAAGTTTCGACGCCATTTCTGCATTCTCAACCTCTAAAATCTAAGTTTAATTTAAAAAAAAAAATAGAAAGTCAGAATTAAAAAATTTGCATTTGTATAACTATGTAGAATTAGAGGGAGATGAAGAAGAAAGTACCTTGATGCGGCAATGGAGAGCATCAATTTGGGAGCGAAGAGAAGAAATTAGGCGATCGTTCTCCATTATTCTTCAGCAGCAGCCAGCAGCAGTGGTATTGCCCTCGTTAGATGTCTACACTAGTAGACTTGTTAACTTTATAAAGTAGTAAATTATCCTATGTATACTACCTCCGTTTCTCATTATGTGTTTTATATCTCACAAATAATACTCTATATTGCACATAATAAAAAACTGAGGTTTAGTACTTTCTCCGTTTCAATAATATTACAACAAGGATGAAATTACACATCTCAAAGTACATTTTATGGGTTAAATATCTATAGTTGTATAAGAGTAAAAATTATAAAAAGTATTATATGAGACGAATCTACCAAAATCTCACATGAATGATGAATAGTGCAAAAGTTCTATTATTGCAATTTCATTGGAACAAAGGAAGTATTAATTATTCAAACTTAACAAAAGAAAAAAAAATTGTGTTAATTAAGTTTAGCTATATGAAAAATTATTAGAAGAATATACTTAAGAAACTTATATTATAAGAGTGTGATTTTTTTTTTTTTTTGGAAAGGTAAGAAGAAATAACATTAGGAAACCCTCCTCACGAGGGTAATCCCTAATGTGTCAGTTTGAAGTATGGAAGCTAAATTAGAGCTAGTACAATCATTAATTAACATGGAATCTGCTACTAAATGGCCTACATTTGTTATCCAATCTGCTGCTCAGTTCACCTCTCTATACACGTGTCTGATGCTCCAGTTGTCGAAGTTTGTCAAAAGAACACGAGAGTCTTCAATGATGTTTTGGATTTGCTAAGGGGTTGACCACTTGCCTGTTATTGCATTGACAATGAGTAAGTAGTCACCTTCGATTTTGATGTTTGTGGCACCCTGATGAAGCGCTAGCATTATGCCTTTCTGAAGAGAAGTTGCCTCTGTGACGAACACCTTTGTATTCCCGAGGTTGTAGGTTGCTGCCAAAAATAGGGCACCTTTGTAGTCCTTTATGATGACGCCTGCTGCTGCTAAATTGCTACATACCGACCCATCAAAATTGAGTTTGTAACAATTTGGAGGAGGGGGTTCCTACGCGACTAGAATAAAGGAAGGGTGATGATGATGATGCCTCTGCTGGTAAGGGAGAGAAGAAAGGGGGGATCTCATGTGATTGGAGATCCTGAAGAGTAAAAGGTATTGATAATGCTTCTTTGTTCCCAACTTCCCACTCATTGAACGCAAAAAGCGCTCTGTGGTATATTCTAACGGGTTCAAAATTATCACTTTGGAAGATAATAGCATTCCGTTCTTTCCAAATGCTCCGAAGTAAGAAAATAAATTTTCGTTGTGTGGACGGATTTTTTTAAGATAATATAGGGCATCGAATAGGTCTTATATGGGAAGGAAGCAGTTGAACCAAGCGGAGGTAAGAGGATGAAGCCAAAAGAATGAAGATTTGTCACAATTTAAAAACAAATGGTTCATGGATTCCGCTTGTTGGTTACACAAGGGGCATATGTTATTTAGAACAATATTTCGTCTAAATAGAGTATCACGAACACTAAGGCTATTGTGAAAATTTTGCCATAAGAAGATTAATAATTTTGGAGGAATATCCACTTTCCATAACCAATGATGTGGCCAGGAAGTGTCGTCTGGATCTAATTTATGAGCTAGCCAATTAGCAGATTTTATTGAAAATTTTCCAGAGGGGGTCGGACCCCAAACAGGCTTGTCTTTAATAGTGGTTGAAGGGAGGGGAATCCCTACAATTTGTGCCACTAGCAGAATAGATGCTAATTTTAGTCTATTCCATAGACTATTTGGAAGAATAAATTCTTCAACTTTTGTATCTAAATTTAGATTGTGGTAATCTAGTCCTATGATTTCAATCAGACATTTGTTGGATATCCAATTGTCTAATCAAAATTTTTTTTTTTTTACCGTTTCCTATTTTCCAACGAATTCCTTTATGAATGATATTACTTTGAGCTAAAAAAATTTTCCAAATGAAGGAATCTTTAGGACTAGGTTTATACTCGAAAAAAGACGTATTTTCCAAATATTTAGCTTTCACAATTTTTACCCACAAGTTATCCGGGTCGGAGAGTACTTTCCAACCTAGTTTAGCTATGAAAGCTTTATTTAAAGGTAGAGTTTTGCGGAGCCCCAAGCCACCCACAGATTTAGGCTTACAAATAGTGTTCCAAGAGATAAGGGGAACATAATTCTTTTCCTTTTGTTGTCTCCAAAAGAAATTTTTATGGAGAGCATCCAATCTTGCCGCAATGTCGGTTGGGAGGAGGGAGGAGGAGAATACATAAGAAGGGAGGGCTTCGAGGTTACTTTGAATTAGTGTATGCCTACCAGCTTTAGATTGAAAGCCGACCTCTCATTGATTAATTCTTTGTTTAGTTTTCTGAAGAAGATTTAAGAAATCTCTTTTGAGAGGGTGATAGGAGCTAAAAAAGATCCCTAGGTAACGATCGAGGGTATCCTTTGGAGTCATGTTAAAATGACTTGCCAAACTTGTGTGCCTAGACAAGGGAATGCACTTCGAGAAAACTATGGAATGTAATACCCTGAAAATTTCCTCCTTTTAAAATAATCGTTTTACTCTAAATAAAACTCTTTTTAGGAAATAACCAAAATATTACCGCCACCGTAATAACGGTTAAGGCTATTTTTCAAAGTCACACAGCGAAAGACTAAAAATAAAAACCAACTTTCAAAATAAAACTTGAGTTCACAACCTCAAAACAAAAGTAAAATTTAATCGTTCACAAGTTGGAACCAATTCAAACATTACCCTCTTAAAAACCAACTTAAAAAAATAAACATAATAATGTTACTCCATAATCAATAACCAATAATTCAAAACATAAAACTAAGAAAGCATAACAAGTATCTGCCACTTCCTCTTTATTTCAACCCCTCTGCTCACCATATAAATGGGTCATAGTAGGGCCAATCCAAAGGAAAGTCAAACACAAACACAAAAGTACGAATCAGCAAAAGCTGAGTACATATGCACCACACTAACATGAATGTCCTAGCAAAAAAAAAAAAAATTAAAACATGCTCGCTATACAATCATAAGTCAACTTACCTTTGACTCATAACTAGCAATATTAATTATTAGATAATAAATTTGGATTACGCATCGAACGGGTTTCCTTCCTCAAAAATAGCACATTAAATATTGAGCTTCCAATTAGGGAGCTACTCCAATTGGCACCTACTATGTCGCCTTGTGACGGAATTTCAGCGCGTTAATAATAAAAGAAAGTACAACATCCTGTACCCCTGTAGAAGCTATGATTAAATATAAAACCACATAACTTCTCCCATATGTTCATACTTAAGGTATATACGTTTCAAGAGTTTTGGTGCATATCCTCTTACACTTTACGTGATTTACCGATTTAACTTGTGATGACTTCAACCAATCAATCAAGAACAAACATAATAACAATCAACACATAGTTCTAATTCATTCTTGAATTGATTAGTGAGCACATATATACTATTTATTTTAATTAAGGTTCTTTGCCTTGTTTTGTGCACGAAATTGCACGATTACTACCTTGGTGCATAACATGCACTACTTAACTTCCTTGACTCAAACTCAACTTACATGAGCGAGTAAATTAATAAACTAACTTCTTGGCTCAACACCAATAATAAATGGGTGAGAAATAAATTCATGAATCATGCTCAATAATTCTAATTTTAGCTCTTTTAAATATACATAAGCCTTGCTTATTAAATTCATGTTTTCTTGATACTTGAAAATAAAACGTACTTCCATGATTCATACTTATTTAACTTGTATCACGCCTCAAATAATATAGTTACATGCTTGCAAAATAATTGACAGGCTAAAGTCTTATCACCTAATCAACAGTAATTCCTAAAACCACTAACTAAAATAGATAGGGAAGTAGGGTTGAATCCACAGGGAAACAATGTTCTTTTATTTCTAATAAATTATTATAATCTAAATTATTAAGTAACCAATGTGATTTTTGTGAATTATACTTAAGGAAATAATTAAACTAACGCGATTAAGAAATATAAGAATAACAATAAATCAAAGTCTAGGGCATAGGTTCACCAATAAATAATATTCCAGGATGAAAGATAACAATCAATTATCAATGCATAAATTAACTAGATAATAAAGGGCTTTCGCTACGTATTACAATCACAGAATTAATTTAGCGGTATTAAATCGCATCTCTTGAATCTTGACTTAACCATTTATAATTAATTCTACCTATTGAAACTAGGCCTTAATATTGATTCTCATCTCTCGAATCTCGAATCAATATTGTGTAACTCATACAATTAAACCAGCGTTAATCTAATTGCATAGCATTATAACAATCAATAGGAAATTAACCCAAAACACTAACAATCAACAATAATAAATCATCCCTTCATATTATTCATGGATCCTCACAACCCTAGAATAAAACTACTCACGCATAATTAAATCTAAGCTACTCAAAGATGGACACTCTTGCTATTTGAATAAAATTGCCTTCTGCCTTTCAAAAAAAAAACGCATCAAGACAAATCTAAATCGGATTGGATTTATAGTTTTAATGATGTTCGGACAAATTGTATATGTGTATTATTGAGGAACGGGTTGGATCGAATGGAGTACTCCACATGCATGTTCAAGTACTCCCTCCATTTCATAATAAGACTTAATAATAGCATGAAATAAACACAAAAAACAAGTACTTTGAAGTAGTGGACTGGTGGAGTATTATATGATCATCCTTTTATTAGATCTTCTTATTTCAGTCAAAAGAAATGTATACTAACGCATAATAGATCAATAGTACACATGTACAATTTGTCTAAATATGTGATATGTAGCCAATTGGATCACACACTATATATATATATTTTTTTTTGTCTAAAACAGGTGTTCTCCTACTATGGTAGATCGAATTATTGGCTCTGGGACAAAGATGCGATTCAAATTGCCTCATTATTTTATTTTTCCGCGAAGGGTATTTAACTTATATTTATACTATCTCCGTTTCTTATTATTTGTGAGATAGAAGTATAAAATATTTCTTTTCTCAAAAACAAAAAGACACAGAGGTAGTATACTAGTACGTGTTATTATTCCTAGGGTCTTACCAAAACTCATTTTATT